CTAGAAAGAGATCATTTGGTAAATGCTGTAAATATTTATTGGTAAGAAGAAGATGATAGCTGGTCACTTTAATTATGTTCAAAAGTACGATGATAGCATGAAGACTGGAGTTGGTAAAGGAGATGAGAAACAAAAACAAGAGGCTGAATGTGGATAATGTACCCCAGAAATTTTACAAGAAGTTTGTCGTGGTGGGGACCCCAGTAGAATATACAACTCCATGGTGCTAGGAATGTGTGCTCTCCAATGTACTTACACTACTTACACCTATGCCTTAAATGCTAACTAAAGGGGCAGACCGTTTGACAGCTTCAGACCTACTTGTCAACCAGTTGTATGAATCCTTTCATGTTACTATAGCCATTCCTACACATGCAGTGCATTTTACTGAGAAATAAAAATATAGCCAACCATCAGGCACTTGGGCTGTGCATCTGGCAATCAGTTTGAAGGAGTTTTCCACTGAGTTGATCGGTAGTTGTGGTCTCTTGCAAGCCCATCCCTTGTTGCCCTTCAGTTCACATTAGTAACAAAGCTTGTTTAGGATAGTGTGTCCCTGAGCATGCAAAGCTCCAGGGGGACAACTTGAGTTTTGGATAAATGAGTTCCATTGAAGTTCAGTCTGGAAGTGGCTTAAGTGTCTTGCATGGGTGCCAAGAAGAAATTAAATGTGAAAAGAAGAGACCAGAGATATCACTGAGTTGTTTCTGTTTATTCAATGTATTTGTTTAATCTTTAGTAGTTTTTATGACAGGCTATGCCATCAGATGCTAGGCTGGGCAGGATCTGCAATAAATACAGTATTAAACAAAATAGATGAATAGCTGTGCCTTCAAGGAGCTTATATTTTAATGGGTAGAAGGAGAATCACAATAAACAAAACAAATAAGTAGAATATTGGGTATGGCAGGTGGTGAAAGACCTCTGGGGAAAAATTAAGTAGGAAAGGGATATTGGAATTTGGGTGGGGAGGTGAAATATTAAATAGGAGAGTCAGCGAAGGCCTCGCTGGGAGTAGCATCTGAGTAACAACTAAAATGGAAGGGTTAAGCCATGGAGATACCCGAAGAAAGAGTGTTTCAGGCAAGGACAAAAGCAAAACACACAAGGTAGGCAAGTGCGTGGCATCTCCTCAGCACAAAAAGAAGAACAACATGGCAGGTGAGTAAGATACACGAGGAGAGGAGTGAGAGATGACATCAGAGAGAGAAGGGGGCGAGGGAGCACAGCAGGACCCGGGCCATTGTAAGGACCATGTTGAGTGATTTCGAACAGGGAAAAACTGCTTCTGAAATTTTAAGGGGCTTTTCATTGAGAAAAGGGATCTTAATATTAAAGAATATCAAATCATTCTGCTATCATTCTACCCTTTCTTTTGAGGGTGATGCTTCTACAAATTACCTTCCTGATCCTCTTAGTCCCATCAGAGAAAGCCTTCCTTCTCAAAGATAAGAGAAACTGACCACACACATCTCTGAGAATGAAGTGGCATCTTCAGAAGTTACATTGACACCAGTCTTTGTGCCATCTAGAAAGGTCGATGGTAAGAATAACATGGAACTTTGAAAGAAACTTTTCCAGAACTAGAGGAGAGAGTAATGCACTAAAATCAGTTCTGTTTTTCGTTTGTTTTTAGCAAAATATTCACTAAGAAAAAATAAAGCTTTCACATGCAAAATTTTAAGATACCACAAGACCTTCACTCCCTTGCAACTAAAATATTACCAAATAAATATCATCTCCTGAAATGAAACATGGTTTTTTTGGACAAAGAAGGAGAAGAAACACCAAAGAAAATAACCTATCTGTGGATCCACATTATTGGTGTAGCTTTTAGTTGCCTTCTTGAATATCCTTGAAGTGGTCTTTTCAACTGGAGTTTATGTATTACATTGGTTCACAGAAAGGTAAAGAATGAGGATAGTTAAGTAAAAATAATGTGTCACCACTAACTCAGTGGTGGTCTCACCTATTAGAATCAGTGTATGATTTCATCCTGACTATGCTGTGAACTAGCATCTTACTATTTAAAGTAAATACTATCTACCATTTACTGGATCTTAGTTTTCTCACCTGCATAGGAAGCAGTTGGATGGATAGCAACTATAACTGTTTTTCTTAAAGGTATCTGTGAAAATCAGCTGCCATGGACAAAGTTGAGTCCAGGTTCTCAAATGAGCTCCATGCTCAATAATTTGTTAGGATCATCTTAGATGTGTAGTCATCATCTGTAGATGATAACTACATAGTACTGTACTCCATATCCCCCTTTCTGTTCCCACAGACACTACACACAGATCACAATACTTACCGCTATTGAGTCAATCAGAATTCAGGGAGGGTCAGAACCTTTTTAAAAATTTATGTTTGCATAGTAATGTAGACAATCATGACCAAATAATTAGAGATGGCACTCAAGTTGAAAACAATTTGCTACCTTATCATTAGGGGAACAACTATATTGAAGTCAGCTGTTCCTAGTATAGCTAGGAAAAGCACTTGCATCTTAGCCAATTTCTCGCGTCCCTAAAGGGCTCTAACATATCATCAGTTCCACCAGCATAAAGCAGTTGCTGGTATCCTGGGCATAACCAAGATGGATCAATTAGCTTTTCAATCAAAGAGGCCTAAATATATAGCATTAATTTCCCTTCTGTATAAAGTCCCCTTGCATCCTGAGGGGAGATCCTTCTGTAAAAGAAACAAAATCAGACATTCAACAAGTAGAGAAATCAGTGACTTCTTCATCTTTGTGTCCCCACCTACTCACTTTCTTACTACCCATATCTACAGGAGCTTAGATCAAGAAATCTGTGTTTGTTTCAGTTCTAATGGAAAGTCCTCGCAATGTTATTAGATAACTGAGATGAATTTTAATCTGATGACAGCTTGTGACCCACAAATTGCTGTTTAAAATTAAAATGCACTCAAAATGAAACTGGCAAGACAACCACAATATTAAACTTGCAATCTGCTATGAAAAAAATCAAAAGTACTATATTAAATATTAATATAATTAATTTCTATATAGCATCTTGCAACTAAATCTGAAAAAGACAGACCTTCAATGCATTGTCTTATTAAATTCAAATTGGTTGATTTTTTTTTTTTTTTTGCAAATTAAAAAGTCGAACTAGATAGAGATGGATTGGTTTTCCTTTGGTAATATAACCTTTGGCTGAGCTCCAGGTAGAATCTAGTGCTACAGACTTCCAGGTTTCTCTTTTGATGAACAAAAGTCCTCTATTTACCTCATCCCAAATGTTCATCTACAGTAAATGTGGAAATGTTTTCCATTTGCTTAGTTGTAAGTTTATTTGTAACTTTTAAGCTATAATTATTCAAGATATATGATTGTATTAAATGTGATCTTTAGGATTATTTGTACATTAGTTTTAAAAAATAAGCACACTGATATTTTGGATAGATCATTTAAATCATTCCTAAACTCAATAAGAATTGAGGCATTTTTCTTAGTCAGTGAAGTTCTGTATTAGTACTATCATTAAACATTAATATAAGTGAAGCTCAACACAATGTGCGTATTTTCATCCCATACTTCAACATTAAAGAACTGTGTGTGGTAATAAAAGGATTCATTTCAGCTGTTTGCAAATAACTTAATGACCAAGTTGTAGTTATTTCTAGTTTTCAAAAGATGCCAAAGAACTATTGAAGTTTCCACAACATCATAATTATAACAATTAACATGTGTATTTGATTATAGCCTTAAGGTTCCTATATATTACTCATTTAAGGGCTTCACAATACATTAAAATAGCATTAGCTAGAAATAAGAAAGTACCATATTTCCTCCTCATTATTGCATACATAGAAAAAGACTCTCCCACTCTTTTTAAAACATAACACAAGAACTGCAATTTCACAACCATTATCCTCATTCATTACCCCTGGAACATAGTACATACTCATTAAATGGTAGTTGAAGGAATGAATGAATGTGTGTGATTGGATGACAAGCAAACTCAGGGAAAACAGTCTCTGGTTGCTACAGGATTACTTCATGGACAACTGCTGTCGCAGTAGGGTTCCTAAAATCTCTCTGCCATATTCTATTTTGGCTCATGTGCCTGTAAAAACGATAAAGGATTCAGTCCAGCAAGTCCTTGCATTACAAAGAGGTTGCATCTATCCAAAAAGCAGGGTCCATAGTGACATTGCATATAAATTCCCCAGGTACTTCCTAAGGTTTGCTTCCATAGGAAACCTGATATTGGTCCTGATGTCAAAGGTATTTATTTTATATTCAGGAGCAGTCTCATTGTGACTCTTGGCTAGACCTTATCAAACCTTTCCCAGGGACAGTGCCTACCCTGGGGGTCGTCAGCTTTGAAAGTGTGATTGGGTTTTTGTTCAGTGTCCTCAGACGCTGACCATGATGCTGAAAGAGAAGACAGAGTCTTATTTTAAACCTTTCTTTCCTCTTATTGGTTTAGAAAATTCGAGTGACAAGAGCAGGGGCCAAAGGAGCCTGGAGCGGCATCCTTAATGTGAACCATGTATTTCGATCTTGGGGCGGAGATGTGCTCCCTCAGGTTACAGCCAATGCATCCCTCTGAGCTCTGTGTAAACCAAGAGACCTTACAGATGTAGCTGCTGCAGTAGAAAAGGCTACTCCAGCAGGATAGGATGGCTTGTCTTTCTCCTGAAAAATTGGCAGTCAGGTGCATAGCCCAGAAAGAGGAGCAGTAAGTCTAGATGGAGGGGAGTGGAAAGGGAATCAAATCTATACTCATATTGCAAATGTTCACTATTACTCGTCCGAGGTAAGGAAAAATCAAGGGCTGATTTTAGCCTTAAGTTTTCGGCCCCTGTCTTCCAACAGGTGCATGACTCCCTCACCCTTCCCCTGATAGCACTGTCCCGCTTAGCCTCTCGGAGGCTTTCTTTGCGAGGCAAGCTTTTCCTAGAGTCCTTAAGCATGTGCAGTTTCCTCCCCATCTCATCCCCAGCTTCAGCTCTGCCTGGCAACCCCTTACCTGCAGCGTGAAGATTAAGAAGCAGGCACAGCGCAGGGAAGCCGATTGCTCTCCGCATAGTGTTTGCATGGAGAAGTGGAGGAGAAACTCCACCACGACCTCACTTCAGGAAAAGTGTTACCAGAACGAGCCACCGCCAAAAGGTCTTTGGGCTCCGGGATTCATTCGCAGGTCCTAGGCTGGGGTTTGCAAAACCGTCTGTGGCGCCGGCAGAAAGCCGCCCCAGCTTCGCCTCCTTAAGAGAGGGGAGAGGAAGAGGAATGAGTGGGGCGGAGCAGGGGGGAGGGGGCTGAGGCTCTCAGAAGCGGCTACTGCCTGGCCTTCAGGAAGCCCCGCAGCAGTGGTGGAGAGGGCGGGGGGAACTCCCGCGCCAGCCCGGGAGCCGGCTGCCCTCGGCCAGTGCAGCGCGAGCAGCACCCAGAGGAGCCGCGGCTACTGAGCATGCCCAGCGCTGCCCCGGCGCAGCACCTCGGTTTCAAAATGAAATTCCACTTCTCCAGGTCTTAGCGGCCACTGCAAGGGGAGCCGGCGCCTCGGCGGGTGTGCTTTTGGGGGCCGTGATTAAGAAGAGCCTGTCAAAAACCTGGGAGTGAGGTGGGGTTGGGTGTGTCTAAACGCGGGCATGATCAAGGGAACTAGACGAGAGTCCAAGAAAGCGTGCCAACCTCAAGACCCACCCTACTCCTTCTCCAGAGCTCAATTTACACATGGACAGAGCCCGCTGCTGGGACTTGACCTTCGCAGCGCGGCAGATTGACCAGCTTCTCAGGGTTGCATGCAGGAGTATAGGTGCCTTCTGCTGTTGAGCACCCCGGGCGGCCTGGGGAAATGTAAATGGGTATCCTGGGCGTGACTTCTTCCAAGTTTTCTCTTTTTGTTTCTTTCTCCTCCAGCTCAATCCCTGTATTTAAACTTTCTCCTTTCTGAAGCCCAAAGTCTATGATTATAATGACAGTAAAAAGTGAAGCCACACTTTTAGACTAATAGGATATATCCATGTAATTGAAGAAAAGAAGGCACCTTTTTGCTTTTCGGAGATACTTACCTTTAGTCTCTATTTTATTTCCTAAGGTGATAATTAATGGAATCACTTCTGTCAGGGCTCCTCCGGTGCAGCTCTTGGTCTCACTTGCCCCCATCGGAGACTTTGGATTGTGGGGATAGCCCCTGGTGTCCAACCTGCAGTCCGAGATGGCTATGAATGCAGCCCAACACAAACTTGTAGAATGACTTGAAACATTCTGAGTTTTGTGTGTGTGTGATTACATGTCACAATGTATTTACTGTGTGGCCCACAACAACTGTTCTTCTTCCAGTGTGGCCCAGAAATGCCGAAAGGTTGGACACCCCTGGATTGTTCCTAATCATGATGTCCTTGGACCAGACTTCTCTCCTTGAACTATCCCAGGAGCTCTCTGCTTCTGTGTCTTCATGGAATGCCGTTGTCCCTTCCTCAGTGGCCTCTACTTCCATCATCACCACACTCAAGCTTACTAAGGCCTAATGTTGGTCTCACATTTCCAGAAAGATCGGGCCAAAGTTCAGGTTACAGTGATATTTCTCTTTCACGTGTGTGTGCATACACAACATTAGCTCAATGTTGCCTTATATGTTTTCACAGCTATTTATTTATCTGTGGCTTCTCTTTGAACACAGTTGAAGGCTTCATAAGGGCTTCTGCATCTTTTTTTTTTACTTAAGTTGAATAAAGCTGATCTAGGCAAATGAAAGGTACTAATAAGTGCTTATTGAATTGAACTGCATATCTCATTCAATGCTTTCTTCGTCCATCCACTGTGAATTGGGACAGCTAATGGGAAGTATGCTACCCACAGGAGTTTAAATTAGACAAGATCTTATAGGATCTGAAAGCCTGGGCAGTATCTTGTTATGCTTTATTTCACCTCCAACACTGGGAGAAAGGGCTAGGAATCGCCTTTGGACAGGTGGGAGAAGGGGAGAATGAGGTGTATTTTCAATACCTAGACAGGTCTCCCATGCTGAAAACAGGTATATAGCTTCAGTCTCCCCACTCTTCTACCTCCTCACAAGTGTCCGTCGGGCACCATTTCTGTGACACTGCATTTCACCCCAAACCACCCTAAGCAGCAACCTCTTCCCCTACTCTGATTCATTTTTCCCCAATCTCCTTTCCCTATAGAATGTATCACTTTCTAATATACCAAAAAACCTACTTGTTAAATTTATCATTTATCATCTGTTTCCCTGCCCCTCCCCACCCCTGCTTCCTGCAGTGGAATCCCATCTTCCAAGGCAGAGATCTTTGGGAGTTGTATTCATTTATGTATTCCAGCTGATCAGAACAGTGCCTCTAATAAAATAGGTGCTCAAAAAACAAATGAAAAGCAATTCCTTGGTTAACTTCAGTACTGACCATTAACATAGTTCCTTGACATTCTTGATAAACAGATATTTGAGATAATTTATTTAGTTGTGCTTAATGCTTAGAAGAGAATCCCTTCTTGTTTGATCTCCAAAATATATAAATAATCCACACAACTCAACTCCAGGATGACAAACAATCCAATAAAAAAAATGGGCAAAGGGCTTGAACAGACACTTCTCCTAGGAGGACATATGGAGGTCTCAGAGACATATGAAAAGATGCTCAACATCACTAACCATCAGAGAGATGCAAATTAAAACCACAATGAGGTACCACTTCACACCAGTCAGAGTGGCTACCATAAAAAAATCAACAGACAACAAGTATTGGAGAGGATGTGGAGAAAAGGGAACCCTAATACATTGTTGGTGGGAATGCAGACTGGTGCAGCCACTGTGGGAAACAGTATGGAATTTCCTCAAAAAACTAAAAATGGAACTGCCTTTTGACCCAGCAATTCCACTGCTGGGATTATACCCGAAGCGCCCTGAACACCAATCCAAAAGAACCTATGCACCCCAGTGTCCATAGCAGCACAATTTACAATAGCCAAGTTCTGGAAACAGCCTAAATGCCCACCAGTAAATGAGTAGATCAAAAAGCTGTGGTATATTTACACAATGGAATACCACACAGCAGAAAGAAAGGTGCTCCTACCCTTAGCAATAGCATGGATGGACCTGGAGAGCATTATGCTAAGTGAAATAAACCTGGCTATGAAAGGGAAATACCATATGATCTCACCTATAAGTGGAGCCTAATCAACAAAACAAACAAGTGAGCAAAATAGAACCAGAGACATGGAAATAAAGAACAAACTGACAGTAACCAGAGGGAAGGAGGGAGGAAGATAATGGAGGAAAGAAAGGGAAGGGTCATCAAAGAATGTGTATAAAAGACCCATGGACAAAGACAGTGGGGTTGGGGGACAATTGAATGTGGGAGGTTGGGCTGGGTAGGGCAAGGGAGAGTGATGGGGCAGTGTGGAGGGGGATGGAGACAACTGTAACTGAACAGCAATAAAAAAAGAAGAGAATTCCTTCTTATCTACTATCTGGTGCTAGAATTTCTGCAGGATTTGGAGCTGAAGGGAAATAATCATAATAATTAATGTTCTCTTATTTTTCCTTCTTAAAAAACTTAATTACCAAACTTACAAAGGTAAGTCTTTAAGAAGAAAATGCACATACAGTAATGAAATAATGCTGCAGCTGTGCCCTGCACACCTTGCTTTCTTACAGATAATCCAACATTTTTTGAGGAGAGTTGCATTTAAAGTTTCAAATAATTTAATTGGCAGTGACTTTGCTGATAAGCAGTCAGCAATCTATTTATTTTGCCCAGAGGTACAGGTGGCTGAATTATTAACAGTGCCTGAAAATCCCCTTAACAGCAAAATTTTCCAAGATTTTCCAAAATTTTCCAAAATTTAACTAGACATACTACTACAATAGCTCAGCATGGTGAAAATAACCTTGAGTGGGCTGTAATTTTGGTAGCTGGACATTCATTATTAATTTATATGAAAAAGATAAAGGAACAAGGACACTTCATATTCCTCAGTGAGTCAATCTAATATACTTTCAATGGATTTGATCCCATGAAATATGAAGTCAAAAGACAAAAAACCAATTAGCCAATTAGTGAAAAAGTCAGCCCCTTAATGTTTGAGAAGTATTCCCTGTGGGGCCATGCACACTGCTTTTTCTTCTCTCTCTGATCTAATTGTAACGAAGGCAATTTGTGTTGTAGAGAAGAAGCTTGGTTAAAACACTGCACCGAGGTTCAGAAAGTTAGTTCAAATTCAGAGAAGCACAGAAATTAATATGAGACAGCCATGCAAGTGTGTACTGGCTTACAAAGCTGTGTCTGAAAGGAAATCATTTACATTTTGAAAGATAAATAGAAAATTCATATTGTATGGACCTTTTCTTCCCAGCAGATGTGTAATCTCTTTCTCATAAGGTGGTTCAGGGAGTATTTCTACAGAGAGAAGCCTGTTAGAGCCAGTTCTCAAACCAAATTTAATTGCTATGAGCCTTCATATTAACTTGACTATAAAGGGAGGAATATGATTCATCTTGGCCATCCTTTCTTAGTACAATTTGGTGTCCAACCCACGGCCCTCGGGCCACATGAGGCCCAGGATGACCATGAATGCGGCCCAACACAAAATCATAAATTTACTTCTAACATTATGAGATTTTTTTGTGATTACATATCACAATGTGTTTAATGGCCCAAGACAACTTCTTCCAGTGTGGCCCAGAGACAACAAAAGTTTGGACACTTCTGCTTTAAATAAAGAAATCGGATCTACTGACTGTTAGAGTTTTCTTTTTAAGTTACTCTGATTATTATTTAAATAATAATGAGAGCTAAGTGCTTCCTGTGTGCCAGAATCTGCTCTAAGCACATGGACATCTAGTTTAAACTTTATACTATCTTCACAAGACGTCACTATCATGATCTCATTTTAGAGAGGAGACAGTTGAGGTACAGAGAAGCAACTTGCCCAAAATCAGGTAGTAAGTAATCAATCAAAAGGTAAGTTGGTAGTTAGGATGCACAATCGGAGGACTTGATACCGAACCTTCACAGTGTTCTGCTTCAGATATGGTAAATATACATGTGTCCATTGTAACTGGCTCCCTGCAATTAGGAGCAGGACACGAGTTGCTGCTGCTAGATCTGGCAGTAAAGCTGTGTGGTGAGAAACA